GGCCATTCTGACTGGTGTGAAGTGATGACTTCTTATAGTTTTGATTTGCATTTCTCTGAGAATTAGTGATATTGAGCATTTTTTCATGTGCCTATTGGCCATTTGTATGTCTTCATTGGAGAATTGCTTGTTTAGATTTTCTGCCCATTTTTGGATTGAGTTGTTTGTTTTTTTCCTTATTAAGTTATATGAGCTGTTTTTATATTCTGGATATTAAACCCTTGACAGTCTCATCTTTTGCAAATATTTTCTCCCACTCTGTAGGTTGTCTTTTTGTTTTGCTTATGGTTTCCTTTGCTGTGCAAAAGCTTCAAAGTTTAATTAGGTCCCATTTGTTTATTTTTGCTTTTATTTCTATTTCTTGGGTAGACTGCCCTAGGAGAACATTGCTGAGATTTATGTCAGAGAATGTTTTGCCTATGTTTTCCTCTAAGAGGCTTACAGTGTCCTGTTTTATGTTTAAGTTTTTAAGCCATTTTGAGTTTATTTTTGTGTATGATGTGAGGGAGTGTTCTAACTTCATTGATTTACATGCTGCTGTCCAGTTTTCCCAGCACCATTTGCTGAAGAGATTGTCTTTACTTCATTGTATGTTCTTGCCTCCTTTGTCAAAGATTAATTGACCAAAAGTTTGTGGATCTTATTGATTTTTCTCCTAATAGAATTTAATCTATACTCTATTGTCTTATGTCTAGTTTTTCCAAAGATAGGCAAATTAAAAAGCCCTGTGCTTTCAGTCGTGTTGGTCAGGACTCTGCACTTGGCTGAGCCAGTGTAGAAACCTGTCAGAGACAGAGCCCTCCCCTCTGGAACAGGTGCGTGTCCTTGTAAGAGTGTCCCTGCCTAGTTGACCCCTATCTTTCACCTCTGCCAGGCCTCTGAGCTGCCTTCACTGGTGTGCTGAGGTCTGTTGAGCCTGGGGGCCGAGGTTACATCTGTGCCCAGAGTCTGTAGACCTTTCAGAAAGAAAGGTGGTTTGACATTTAGAGAACTGTTATAATTCCTACCACTTCTTGTTACTATATACCAGGTGCTGAACTGAACACTTTACACTGTATGTGCCTTACCCCATGGCATCTTCACAACAGCCCTGTAAGGTAGGAGCTTTCATCAACCTCATTTTACAGATAAGGAAACTGAGCTTAGAGAGTGTTAGGTCAGTTGTCCAAGGTCAGCAGTTGGCATAGTGCCAATCAGGAGTCCCCTGTGGGTCTGTCTGGCTCCAACGGTGGCTCTTAGCAGAAAACTCTCCGATGGGCTGGGCTGGGCTGGGACTGGATGCAGCAGCCAGAGCCTGAGATCAGACAGCAAGATCAGACTCGGTCTTGGGGAGTGTCCTTCTCTTGCTGAAGGGAGGAGAGGCAGAGGGCTGGGAGTGCCTGTGACTTCCATCTTGTGGCACTGATGTACCAAACCCAGCATCCGTCCCAAAGTGAAATGCCTCAGGCCAATTCAAGCAGGGGAGTGGCTATACAGAGTGCAGGTGTGCCATGGGAGATTTTGGCTTCAAAGTCTGTTCATTAAACCCACAACTGGCCACTTGAAACATTTCTTTTCCAAATATCTCCTTCCACATATTTTTGGCAGTTTAAAGGGATAGGGTGAGCTACAGATCATTATAGCTCTTTGATCCTGATTTCCGACTGTTCATTCATAAGTTATTTCCTAAAAAAAGGGAAGGGAGATGAAAGGCAGGAAAGAAGTGGGAAAAAAGAGTTTATTCAAGAAAGGAAAAGGAGAAAAAGAATGGGGGCAAATAATGTGATCTAGAGTTTAATAAAGTAGCATGAAACCAGGCCTTTCACATCTCTCCCCCCACCCAGTACTGTCCCATAAATCTTTACATTGCATTCCACCAAATGTGTCAGAAATGCAACTGTGCTTGCAAATAATTGCTGCCATTGAATGATTCCACCCTGGTGTAGCCATTTGAGCTCAAAAATAACCCATGTAACCTAAGAGTAAATCAGTGACCGGACACCCAGTGCCAAGCATAATCTCAAGCAACATTTAACTAGGTTCAATATTTATTTCCCTGCCTTGAGTCACTTTGAAATGATCTGGACTCAGTTCAGACAGGACAAGCCCTAATTTTATGGTGCTCTTGGAACCCTTCCAGCAGCACGAGGGTTCAGATGTCAGGGAGTTCCAGAAAAATGAGATCCCTCACAGAAGATTTCACAATTTAAGGCACCCTCCTTTCAGTATTTTGCAACATGTGGGCCTTTTGACTGAAGATAAAACTTTTTGAGTAGGGCTTTGAGCACCCTCAAGAAGTGTCTCACGCACGCCCCAGGTCTGACCTTATCCCTAGAGATGGGGTGGGTAGAATGAACCTGGTTCATAGCTTGCCTAAATAAAATCTCTGAATACCCAAAGGTGGAAAAAGAGTAGCCCCAATTTGCCACTGTTTTCCAAACAAGTGACCTGTTCCACACAATTATGGAAGCCAGATTTAGGAAGCTTCAAGACACATTCAAACAGCAGATAATGTGGCTCCAAGTTTGATGGATACTGGGACATATCAAATAAATAGCCGCCAATTGTCAAGCTTTTGTATCTCAAATCCTCAATCAATAGAAACCAACCAATTTTAGTGTACATCAGAGATAAATCTCAAATGGCAGAATTGACATATAGCTCCCTGTTAAAGAGGTATTGAACCGACATTGAGTGACCTCACACTCAGCCAAAACATTTATTATAAAAGTCTGCCGTGGTTAAGAGAAGTGATTGATACTGGCTCATTCTGCTCTAAATGCAGCCTTTTATCTGTTTTACTTGGGAAAAGGGAAAAAGACCTCACTCGTGAATTCAAACATTTTCCTTTTCTCTATTTCTCCTTAATCTATAGATGGTTAATCATAATTCAAAATAACAGCATGCATTCTGGGGTCCAGGGGACCTAGTTCATGTCCTGGGAGCATCATTTACCAGCTTTTGAGAAAAATGTTAAGTTTCTTTCAGGGACAGTTTCCTTATCTATAGAACTGGGAGGACTGGAATGAAATAATGTATTTAAAGCAATTAGTAAAGTGCCCAGACACATACTCGAGGGATTCTAGTCATATTGTTGTTATAATAATACCATCACTATTGTTAAGCAACATTGGCTCCTGACTTCAAAGTTCCATAGACTATTATGCTATCAGCAGAGATAATAATAACAAGTGATCCTTTATTGGATCAACCTTTGCTTCCTGCATCCAACCTCGATTCCTCTAGATGGCTGACAATAATCTCCTTCTTCCCAAATCCTAAAATCAGTAATAGTTATAGAAATGTTTTGATGATACTTACTAGGTATCAAGCACTGTGCTCACTGCTTAAAATATGTTTTCTCATTTAATTCTTTTGCCAACCCTCTGAGGCACACATGCTATTATTATCTCAGTTGTTAGAAATGAGGAAACTGAGGTTCAGGGAAATGAACAAAATTACTTGAGATCACACAGTTGGCAGACATCCAGTCACGCTACATTACACTGGCCCCCCTGCCCCAAGTCACATCGATTATTGTTTGTTGTTGTATTATCCCCTGAGGAGAACAGAAAACTTTAATAATTTGGGGAAAGTCACTTTCTCTCTCTAGACCTTATGTATTTCCATCTGTCCAATGAAAAAGGTGGATAGAGTATATCAGAGATTTTCGGAATCCAGGATTCTAATGCAATCAGCTATTGTCAAGGGAGGAAATCTTGCAAAATGTGTAAATAGGATTTGTGTGTGTGTGTGTGTATGTGTATGTTTGAAAAGGAGCTTGTGTACACATCTGGAGTGATCACTTCCTCCAGTGAGGCTGGCAGGAGGAACATCACTGCCCTTTCCACAGTTGCTTAACTCTCTCTTCTTGAGCTATCCTTTCAGACTCTGCTGTGGAGGAAACTGTTAACTCACCCACACATGCTTGTCTGCAGTTGTACATGGCTGGTCCAGTAGAAGCTAGGACAGTCCTTCATTTGGGTCAACCTTCACTTCCTGCTCCCAATCTTGATTCCTCCAAGATACTTAACAATAACTTCTTCTTCCCAAATCCTAAAATCAATCCTCCTGCCATTCTGGGACTAATGTGATTAAAAACCTACTTACATCTGGTCCTCACACCTCAGTGTGGATGTAAAGTGAAACCACTGATCCTTGTTGTTGGAGGGTTAGGGTGTTTAAGATATTCTGCATCTTGGCCACAAGCGAAGCAGTTTCCGGATACAACCTGTTTGAGGGCTGGGCTTCCAGGGTGGAGAAGGTGGGCAAACTAGGAAGAAGAGGCTTGAGGATGAAAGGGGAGGAGACAGAGGGGAGGAGACAAAGGGGAGCCTGAGCCTCAGTTTCTGGCTGGATGTAAGCGCTGGGCACTTCCTGGCGACCTGCGTCTAGTGCTGTGAGGCAGACACTGTGTCCTGGCTCTGAGTCTGTGGTTTTGCTCTTGAACACAGCTGTCTGCTGGTCTTGGTAGTGAGAAGGGCATACAGAAATACGTATATGCTGGACTCGCTCTTCAAAAGTAACCAGGACTCCACATTCTGGCCTTCCATTCTTTAGGGTTTAGACTAAGGAAATAATGAGAGGAAAAAAATCATCTGCCTTCATGTCCTAGGACTCGTCTTTTTAATTATGTGTTATTAACACAAGGACCTGTGAAGAGGAACATTTGATCACCCCACAAACTTCAATCAAACCATAGATTTGAGGAGAATATTAGAATTTGTTAAGTTATTGAAACTAAGGATACTAATCAGATATATGGCTAAATTAGAAAAAATATATTTTTTTCAAGTTTCCATCATTTTTGGTTACTTTTTTTTTTTTCAATTGAACTATAGTTGACTTACAGTGTTGTATTGGTTTCTGGTGTACAGCATAGTGATTCAGTCATATATATACATATTCTGTTTCATACTCTTTTTAATTATAAGTTATTACAAGGTATTGAATATAGTTCCCTACAGTATACAGTAGGACCTTGTTGTTTATGTTATATATAGTAGTTTGTATCTGCTAATAAAAATATGGAACGTTTCATAAATTTGCATGTCATCCTTGCATAGGGACCATGCTGATTTTCTCTGTATTGTTTCAATTTTTGTATATGTGCTGCCGAAATAAGCATAGAAAAAAAATTGTTTAATATGTGTTTGCTTTAGCCGGCTTCCATGGGTAGGTGTAAACCAGGTCAGGGCCCAGGCAGATGCATGAGGAAGTTCCAGTTGGCCATTTCAATTTGAGGAATATAAACAAAAAATTCTCAATCTGTTGAAGTAATTTTAGGGATAGGGTAGGGGGCAGGAGTTATGCTGTGCTTTATGGAATTTTTTTCAACTTGACATTAGAAACCAAGAAAACTCTTGAATATTTGCTATCAATTTATCTTTAAAATAAATAAGATTTTTAAAAAATTAATTTGAAATTTTTTATTGATTTTTTTTTCCAGAGCAGGTTGGTAATTAGGTTTTTATTTATTTATCTTTAATGGAGGTACTGTGGATTGAACCCAGGACCTCATACATGCTAGGCATGCACTCTGCCACTGAGCTATACCCTCCCCTCAAGAATATATATTTTTAAAAAAAGAAACCAAGAAAACTCTTAATCTGGAAGTGATTGGTTCTGATGGTTTGTACCCACCCATTAAATTCAGAAATTTACTCATTTTTTGGCATTTTCCATGGGAGGATTGGAATTGGGTTGTTAAGCAAGATTTTCTGTCCTTTAAATATTATTTATGAAAAATGTGACCCAGCTTTTTAGGGAAAATATACAAAGGAAATAAAAATGTCCATTTTTTTTCCCTTAAGGTCTCTCTAAACCTTGTAGTTCAAGTCTTGTCAGAGATTTTTACCAAACCTGTTTTTCAGGGATTTGAAATCTGCTCATAAAAATTAACTGCAGGTTTTTATGCAAGTTAAAAACAGAATTCACGTGGTTTAAAAAAAATCTTCTAAGTCTTTAAAAGAAGGCCTAATAAAAATATACCTTCCTAGATGGCTTTTCCTGTGGCTCTGTGGCCTGTGTGTTTAAGGAATCATTAGAGTTCAGCAGATCATCTTACCCCTGCCCCCATCAGCACAGAGTATTTCCGGTTTTATTCAGAGCCCTCAATGGAAAATGCCAGCTGTTCTTTTTTTTTTTTTTTTCTCCCCCTACTGAAAATTGAATTAAGAGCTCAGGAAAGATATAAGATAACTTCACCGTGCAGACCTTGAATTCCTGTGTGGGTCCCAAGGGGGCTGAGGTCTCACTTGCCCTGTGCTCAGAAACAGCTCACATTGTCCTTTGAGCCACATTACAGAACACCAATCTCCTCCCAGGCTTTGGAGGCCAGACCTGCCCACAGTCCAACCCTGTCTCCTTTGGGCCTCCACAACAAAGGAGGATGTGCTTTCAAGGTCATATGTCATCTCTCGATCCAGGGTCAGCCTGGGCCAGTGGGACGCTGAGAAAATATCATGTGACTGTGGGAGGCTTCACTCATTCTCACGAAAAGGGGAAACCTCCATGACATTGTGCTGAGGACAGCCTCTTTGGACTCTGCTCAGTACGACCTCTTCTAGTGCTTTTGGCTTGTCTTATAGTGAGGTCACGATGCCCTACCTTCTGCAGGCTTGTGAGAATGCACCATGATTAGCTCTTCGGTGGATGGAGGAACTATATTATGGAAGATACAAAGATGCATTCATTCATTAAAACATAGCGTGAACGTGCACTCTGCACAAGGCACAATTTTTGGTGCTAAAGTTGTGAGCAGAAAATATAAGCCTTGTCCTCGTGGAGCTGGAGGCCCCAGGTGAGGAGAAGCCCATCATTATAGCACAGCATGTGCAGGAGTCGGTGCTGGGACTGGGGATTGGGGCGCAGGAGTGGCATCTGACTGGTGGGGAGGGGTTGATGGAAGGCTTCGTGGAGTATGCAACCCACGGGCAAGGTTTGAAGAACTGATACAAATGAGGGTCTTGGTATAACAATTACAATTAATAATTCATTTCTAAGATAGAGATTTTGATGACTATGATTTAGTCCTATAGGGTATAACATTTCAGGATATATCCTAGGATCCTTCCTTCCTAGCTGCTGCTTTGAAGAAGAAACCATTTTGCTCCCTAACACCCAGTGTGGTCTCCAAAGGACTTTATTGCATTTACTATCAAAGCCCCAAAGATTAGATTACAACTGGACCAAGCTCAGATTCCTATCCCTGCTTTCTGTTATTTCTATATGTAGGGCTAGATTGGTCACTGCTTCTTGGCCACAGTGTCTGTCTGATGAAGGATCTTACCAGAGGTGCCTCTCAGGAAGGGGGCTTTATTCATTACCTGTCCCCATGTAGCGTTTTAACGACAGTTCCCATGGAGGAAGAGTTAACTAGTATACGGTATCAGGAGGGTTCTCCCAAAGCCAAGACAGATACCTAAATGATGTTGCCTTCTAAGTGGAGCAAAGTTTCCATTTTCTGAAAGAGAGAAATCTGACCACCTCTCCTGCCTCTGACCAAGTAAGCAGCAGGTGACACAAGCTGATGCCCTTTCCTCAAGGGGGCAGCCCAAGTCCCCTCCAACTCTGTAACTTTATTCCTGGTTTTAACAGGCTTGAGTGTCTTGTGTCCCAGCCCCCAGATGTTAGGTGCAACAAGCAAAGAATGGGGAAGGGATGAAGGAGTTGGCTTCTAGAGGTGGCCAGGAGAGAATGCAGTCAGTCATAGGAAAGGAGGAAGAGGACCCTTGAGAAGCAGATGTGAGAAATGAAAATGTAAAGAAGCCCTGGCCAAGTGGGCTGGGGGTAAAGATTCTGTGAGAACCTTGAGTTTTTCCATTCTTCACTGAGTCTTGGATTCTGCTTTCCTAGTATTTTGTCCAATTAAAAACTGTATCACGTATTTTCCTAATTTTTAATTGACATTAAAATATCAGTCATTTGTGAGAAGAAAGGATTTTCTCAAGCCAATTCATGTCACTACAAAGGTATTGGTCTCCTTGATGAGAACTGAGGTAGAGCTTACTCTTTTAAGTGCTCTTTTCTTAAAGGAAAGTAACATGGCTTAATAGATAAGCAGCAGATCGTTTATCCAGAAACTGTTTCTGTACTGTTTCTGGCTGTGTTTTCTCCAACTCTGAAAATACTTCTTTCCTCCCATGCCTTTTTTTTTTTTAAATGGGCTGATTGCCCCGACAGAAACTTCTGAGTAACAAATTTTGTAACAAATGTGTGTATGCAGAGAGGTTTTTAGAAACATGGTGTATATTTACATGAGACTTGAGAAAGGAAGCTCAGACAATCAGATGCTCTCAGATGGCATCTCGAAGGTGGTTAGAGAATGAAATTGTGTTCTTCATCGTGCAGGTGGGGAGACTGAGGCACAGCAAGGTGAAGTCATCTGGTTGAGGTTTCATGAAGGGCAATGACAGAACTGATATGAACCCCCTTGGATCCTGAGGTTTTCCATTAGATGGTGACACTAACATTAAATTTGTGTGCCATTCAAATGAGTTGACCCTTCCTTTAATTTTTATGCATCTTTGAAATTTTATCTATTACATGTTGGAACACTTCTCTTGACACTGCATTTGAAATTATTTCATGGTTCAAACTTTGAAGGTTTATAATTCAATGGCCTCCTAATAGCAGGTCAATCAGAAAGGCTTCCATTTGGCACTGGTTCCCAATGCTCTGACTAAGCCATTTAAAGCTTCGCAAGGGAGCCCAGTGAGCCACTGAAGTTCTGTCCTGGAGCCGATCGATTGGCTGAAGGGGTCTTGGCTCCTCAGAGAAACCTCAGGAATAATGATTGCCACAGTCATTCTACTTTTGTGGCAGAGGTGGTACATCTCCTGGGAATTTCTCTGACACTGCATCTGTGCCAGGCTTCACATGGCCTCACCTGTTACGCAGGGGTCACTTGAACTGTACTGAACCAGAGCAAGATGATGTATTGACTCTGATGGGCTCTTTCCACACATCACCACCCCTCTGCCTTTCTCTCTGCACCCACCACAGTCAAGCAGGATCGTTCTTAAAAAGCCTTTGAGAACTTTGAAGAAACATGCACATCCATTCATGCTACATCCGTTCACAAATATTAGGCACCTACTAAGTGCCCAGCCTCGTACTAGACAAACATAACACATGATCCCCATTCTCTAGGGGAGTAGATATCCTTGTGCAGATGAGGCACAAGAACATAGAATAAACTATATGAACTATAAAATGAAAAGGAAACAATACAAGTCTATTGTGAGTAGCCCAAAGAACGGAGTATGGAATATGGGGAAGAACGTGGGCTTTCCTGATGACCGATCTGGATTGAAATCCCATCCCTGCCACTTACTGGCCCTGTAACCACAGCTTCCTCAAATGAAAGATAGGTTGGGATAGCTGTGAAGATTAGATAAGATCACCTATATGAACTGCTTAACATGGGTCCTCGCACACATACATACATTACACATACATACATACAAATTACTATTATTATGCAGAATGCAAGAACTATAAGAATTCAGAGAAGCAGGAGCTCCCTGTGGGCTGAGAGGAAAAGGCCTACAAACTGGGAAGCAGTGAGTCCTTGAGGAATGAGTTCAAATGAGATGAGGATGGCGTTAGAAGGGCGCCCCTGGCAGTCCCGGGGAGATGGGAGAACGAGGGTCTGAAGGCAGCAGTGAAAGTTGGAGGGCCTCCTGGGAGAATTTAGGGGTGGGGCCTGTGGGGAAGCCTGGGGACTAGGTGTAACCAGATTTTGGTGAGTGGCAAAGCCTCCACCTCCTCTCCCAGGTGGCCCTCATCGGCTTTGGTCTGCTTTTTCCCCAGCCACAGCCCAGCAGGAGGAGAGCTGTGCAGTGGGCTTTTGCACTGTTCTGTAACAGTCACTTCTGCCGCGTTTTAGCGGGTGAGACAATCCAGTGTCTGACAATCAAGAATCCTTTTGTGGTGGTTGTTGTGGGGGGAATGAGGAGATACCAGTTATATTGACTGAGAAGAAAGACTAGCAGGTTAAAAGAAGGTCATAGAAATAAAGTAGCATCTGTCAGTTTTCTTATGGGATCTCCCTCTCTCCTTCCAGAGGCCCTTGTAGAGTCCTGCTTATTTATGACGCTGGCAGACTTACGCAATCTTAATGCT